CCAGATGCTATCCCACTGCAAGTATTTCAACAAGGACCCAGCAAAATGAAGTTGGAATGAAATTGCTTTTTATAAATGCTCCCTCAGTAGTAGCCCCTTTTATTTCTTTCCTCTTTTTCCCTTGATACTGTTACTTTTTTTTGTGTTTTACAAGTTTCCATTAAAGACTTCCCACTTCATAACAATGCACAGCTCAAGGCAGTCAAACGGAGAACAGTTATCACCTCAGCAGACAGTTGGAAACATCTCTAATTACTTCTGTATTACAGAGAGGGAGCTGACTAATCACAGACAGTGCTAAGTCCAGTTTCTTCCATTTTCCTGTCTTTTTTTTATTTCTTGTAATTTTGAATCTGACAGAATGAGAGTGTGTTAGTGTCATCCCTATTTTTTTCATTCAATGTGAGTTGTGTGTGTGTGTGTGTGTGTGTGTGTGTGTGTGTGTGTGTGTGTGTGTGTGTGTGTGGTGTGTGTGTGGGACATGGGGGAAGAAAAAAAAATTAAACGTTTCTTGTGCTCACGAGAAAAGTATCTGGTGCTCAGGAGATACAGGGGCAGCCTTGAGGCGGATACTCATTTGTCCTCCTTTTGAGAAAATAACAAAAAAGGTCGCCTTTTGACACATTACCTTGTTAGTTTAATACTTATTGGCTAAAAATGTGTGTCAAAATAAGTAATTTCATTGGTTACATTTTCTGTCCTGGCCTATCAACACATGGCTTATTTTAATATTCAAATGAGCCATGTGTTGATTGGCCACCACTAGGCTGTCAATGAAGCTCTCAGCTACAGAGAATGTAACATTTGCTAACTTCGGTTGTTGGTTGTACAAATATGGACTTTTAGTGTTGAATTTCTCCAAATTGGTTAAGTAAAAATGCTTGATATTAAGTATGTTTTTTATTCATCATGGTCACATGAAACACTTTAATGTAACATATTTTATTTTAAATGTAGGTTCGAATTATAGCTTACTGTTCTTAATACCTTTATTTTGAAAAACGGAAGTGAATACGCTGTTTCCCCGCAATTACCATAATGCTGAGAATATGTTAAATTTAATAATTATTATATTCTATAATTTGGAGAAATTCAACAATAAAAGTCCATATTTGTACAACCAACAACTGACGTTAGCTCACGTTAGTTCTCTGTAGCTGAGAGCTTGAGTGACAGCCTCGTGGTAGCAACTGCGCATGAGCGCCTGTTGTGCGGAATCAACACATGGCTCATTTGAATATTAAAATTAGATGTGTTGATGGGTCAGGACAGAAAATGTAACCAATGAAATTACTTATTTTGACACACATTTTTAGCCAATAAGTATTAAACTAACAAGGTAATGTGTCAAAAGGCGACCTTTTTTGTTATTTTCTCAAAAGGAGGACAAATGAGTGTCCGGCTTAATGCTGCCCCTGTATCTCCTGAGCACCAGAAACGTTTCATTTTGTTTTTTTCCCATGTCCCTTTAGGGGCTCCGTATGTGTGTGTGTGTGTGTGTGTGTGTGTGTGTGTGTGTGTGTGTGTGTGTGCGTGTGCGTGTGTGTGTTTGTGAAAATATTTTTCTTTTTGAACTTTACTTAGACATGTGCATTTACTTTCTTATTTTGAAATTTCTTGCTGATATATTAAACCCCACACAGTGAGTGTTCCTTATGCCTTTAGGCCGGCACTGAGCACTCTGGAAGAAATCACATTCGGCATGTTCTCTGAGTGCTGCTAGCAAATACCACTATATATATATATACTCCCACTACCACTATACTTCAGGTCTATTCATTTCATGGTGACTCTACAACATGAATGATCTTCAGTGGTGGAAGAAGGACTCAGATTCTTTAATTAAGTGAAAGTATAAATTAAAAGTATAAAGTATGAAGTTGCATAAAATTAAAATACTTGAAATAAAATACTAGTACTTCAAAATATTACATAGTACAATACTTTCCACCATTGAGCTTGTGGCTCAGTTTGGGTGTAGACATGGCTTGCAGGTTCCTCAAAACAAGAAGTCAAAATTACACTTAAAAATGTATTTAAACACACCAGTTGCAGACAATGATGCATTTGTGGCTGTGGGAAAATTGGGAACAGTACACTTTGCCAGTCTGCCAACACTATGGCAGTTAAAACAGTTGTTGTGCAACAGTTGTTTTAGTGGTACACCTGCCATTTTGCATGTGCAAACCTCCAAATTCCGTTTTTATTTGGAGTATCCTGCATACACATTTATTCTCACATACGAAGAATTTACAATTTAAACCCAAGCTTATTATGCATGACTTTTTCCATTTACAAGAATCCTGCTGGCGTTGGTTCAAAACATTTCCACTTGGCCACTCACTGTATGTCTGCTTGTGTGTAGGCCGGAGTTGTGTGTCTGCTTGTCCTCTACCGTCACGTGCGTCTCCCCTTCCCCAACCTCAGGCCCAGCCCGGGCTCTCAGGAGTCATCCCCTGGAAAGGCATGACAGAGCCCCAGTGTTTGGAAATGGCTGCGCTGGCAGCGATAAGCAGTTCAAAGAAGAGAGCGCATTAATGTAATTGGCTGCCAGCAGCACATTGGCCTCATCGTCTCATATCCACACGCGGTAACACACACTCACCACGCGGATTATTGGAAGGGAGTGTGTGAGAGGGGAGAGAGGATAGAGAGGATGAGAATGAGAGAATGGGGGAAGAGAGATGAAGGAAAGGACAGATAGAGAGAGGGGAGGAGGTCCTCATTGTGTTGCTCATTAAGCCGTGGGAGGCTCAGGGAGGCTGAGAGATGAGATGAGAGGTGTCAGAGTTAAATGTCAGGTCTGGAAGGGACGTGGCTGACCTCCATGAAGCCTACTCACACACTCTCACACATACATACATGCACGTAGAGAGGTAGAGAGAGGGGGATCCTCTGCCGAATTTTCAGCCTCATATTATCCCCTCAACTTCTCCTCTCCTCCTCACTCCTTAACTCTCTCTCTCTCTCTCTCTCTCTCTCTCTCTCTCTCTCTCTCTCTCTCTCTCTCTCTCTCTCTCTCTCTCTCTCTCTCTCTCTCTCTCTCTCTCTCTCTCCCCCCCCCCCCCTCTCTCTCTCGCCACTCACCTAGTTTTACCCTCTCAATTTTCCACCCATTACACCCAAATTACTGGTGTCATTGCAAATTGAATTGTTGCAACCGGATAGCAGCATTTCCACTGAATAGCCCAGACCCCTACCTACTGCAGTGGAAGTGAAGGCTATTTCCTTCAGCTAATTTCCAAGTCTGTGTGATGGGAGGCAAAGAGGAGAATGCCGGGTGGCTTCCTCCACTGTTATGAAATGTTTTCACCAAAGGCTGTGAGAGGCTTTGAAGTTTAGACTCTCGCCCTTGTATTTCAAACATTCTCCTCTTCTGTCTCTCCCTGTGAGTTCTCTTTGAGTACTTCTCTACCCCACTTTCTATTTATTATCTTCTTTTGCTTCTGCTCTAAGTTAGAATTTTGCTCTAATTTTTATTCTCACTTGCATCTCTTTCACCTTCTGATCTTGTGGTATCTTCTGCCCTTTTCCAAACACAAAATAGCAAGAAAACATTTTTAAAAGTAGCTTCAATCTCATGCAAGTGGGTGAAACAATGGATCAAATGATGCTCTGCAGCTCCCCTCAGCTCTATAGAGCACTTTAGCGTATTTCAGCTCATTGTTTTGATTTTACAACCCGCGACTTTATTGTTTTGATTCACTCTCACGCTCATCAACCCACCCAATTTCCAGCCACAGCAGGAAGCTTTTTTCAGTGAAAAAACTCTGATAAACTCTGTATGCTACCTGCCCAGCAGCTGGCTAACATTTAGCAGCATCAGAGTCAGATATTTCCCTTTAGGAGTTGGTGGAGACCAAAACAGAGCTAAAAGGAGAAGGAATATTGCATTTGTCCGTGTCCAGAAACACGATTTAAAATAAATGTTGTTATTAGTTGTAAGTTATGTTGGAAGTGTATATAGGAAACTGTATTCTTTCTTTCCTGTGGACTAGAGGGTGTACAACATGATTTTTGTTATTTTCTTAGTTCAATTAGGAACTCCATCACTGTGACTAAGAGGTAAATATTATAATATTGCCTCCCATTTCTAAGCAAAAACTAAACTTTGACATTTTGTAGTGTGGTGATGACTTGTTTTTGCAAACCAATCTGGACTTTAGTTGCTGTGGTGGCAGATTCTTTTTGCCTTGCACTGCGTGTTTGATAAATAATAATGGTTTGTTGCCAACAATTCTTTGTTTACACTGCAGCTATAATCTGTAAGATAAAACAATGAAAACAGAATTTATAGCTTTAAGGAGCTTAGAGTTACATATTGACCACTTTCAGTTGCTGCCCTTTTGTGTAGTGTGAGTTTCTTATAATATTCACATAAATAAAAGGGCAGATCATGTCAAACATGATAGAAAAGACTGGAAATTGCTCATGATCTTTGATTGAATACCTTAAAAATATATAGACATGTATTAAGACAGAGTGTATATACAAATAATCAGCAACAGTGTGTCTTAGAAAGGCATCTACTCCTTCTACAGCATTAAATATTCCTGAATCTATGAAATTGGTCCTTTTTTTAAGTTAAAGATATCTCCTACTTCACTGTAAAGTCAATTATCTGTGTATGTGCACTGGTGGTTTAAAGTTTCTACATCACACTTGTAAAAGTTGCATACTGGACCAGATGTTGGATGTCACAAATGATGCCTGTAGGCCCCTCCCCTTACAAGCTCAAACATGCAACTGTAAGAACAAGCAGATATTTTGAGTGTAGGGGGAGTTTCATTATTGTATTTATTATATTATTTTGAATGTAGTTATTTTTGAATGATTTTCCACCATGTTGCATCATGTTTAAGATAGATATATTGCAAAAAGAATGATGATGATAATGGTGTTAGTGATAATGATGATTATATGGTCATTATCATTAGCAACATTAGCTGCCAAAACACAGTAATAGACCATTTAAAGCACAAAATGTTGTCTCTTTCCAGGTCAACCCTTTAAGTTGGACCCAAAGACGGCCCACAAGAAGCTGCGTCTGTCCAACGACTGTCTGACCATGGAGAAGGATGAGAGCTCGCTGAAGAAGAGCCACACACCGGAGCGGTTCAGCGGAACGGGCTCCTATGGTGCAGCTGGTAATGTCTTCATTGACAGCGGTTGCCACTACTGGGAGGTTCTACTGGGAGCGTCCACATGGTAAGAAACACGAATGCACAAGATTGCATTATATAAGCATTCAAGGAGGCTTGATAAACCAAAATATCTTTCTGTAGGGAGTTTAAATCTAGGCTGTTATGCAAACCCACACACAACAGACACGCACTCACCACACACAGTGTATACTCTTATCCTATTTATATTCTTTTCACTAATTGGCTCTGAAGTAGACCTCTTCATGCAGGAAAGACCCAAAGGGCCCATGCCTAGCTTGTGTGTCCTCAGCATGAGGTAGCTTGACTGTGCAAGTAAAGTCATTAAGGAGGACACTGTGTTTCAGATCACTAATGCATTCCAAAATGTTCCCTCCCTGCAGGTATGCCATCGGCGTGGCTTACAAATCAGCCCCGAAAAATGAATGGAGTGGCAAGAACTCATCCTCGTGGGTGTTCTCGCGCTGCAACAACAACTTTATGGTGCGCCATGACGGCAAGGAGATGCTGGTGGAGGCAAGTCTGCAGCTGAGGCGGCTGGGTGTTCTGCTGGATTATGACAACAATTCACTGTCCTTCCATGATGCCATGAACTCCCAGCACATTCACACCTTTGAAATCTCCTTCCTCCTTCCTGTTGTACCCACTTTCATGATCTGGAACAAGTCGGTCATGATACTCTCAGGGCTACCTGTCCCTGACTTTGTCGATGGTTTGGCCTCCGATCTTCAAGAGCAGCAACAGCAGCAGATGGGCCTGTGCCGACAAGAGTCACCATACTTGACGGGGATGAAGACCTGCCACTGAGAAAGGCCCACTAATGGCCTAGCAGAGTCCACTCAGGCCCAGTGACTGAAAGGTTGATTGGGAGCTGAATGAGATTGATAGTGTGACTGAGTTCTGCTCTATCCTCTGCATTAAGAGTGGACCAGTTACTTTCTTATGGATTTAGAAGGTGTTGGAAATATGCACATCAGTCTGGAAAAATGAGTCCTGTTAGTTTGTAGCCATCCAACGCTTTGCAAATCCATCAGTGAATGGGAACAAGGTCTGTTAACTGCAAACGGCAGTAGACCTAAAATTCATCTGATGCCCTGGAATCACTGAGGGCAGGGCTGGACATCTGGTTTTCTTGACCATTTAAGGTCTTCCTTTTTGATTTATTTTGTTTGACCCTGGACAGAAAACCAAGGAGGGAATGTTCTCTTCAGCCATTTACAGTTTGAAGTTACAACATGTGAACAGCAGTTACTCTGTGTCTCATCTGAGGGAGATTTTAAAAAGAAAACAGATTCAGACATACATATTTATGTCTATCTATGTACTACTAAATTTAACAAAAACCAAAATTTGATTTGACACAACTTTCTTGGCAACACTTTGATGATCGGTACCACTTTCATGTCTGTATGCTAAATACGAAGCCAAAGCCAGCAGTTGGGTTAGCTTAGCATCGCGTAAGGATGGGATGGTTTCCAGCCTGATAGCTCTGTCACATTTCTTCCTGTAAAACCACAACAATATCAATTTTACATTTCTCTTTTTTATGGTTTAAACAAACAAGATACAACGTGTACGTTTGTGAATTTAGGTGGACTTTGGACAGCGCATGGCTAGCTGTTTCTAGTGCTAAGCTAACTGCCTGCTGGCTAGAGACATGAGAGTGGCATTAATATTCTCATCTAACTTTCTCATCGACTTTATTCCTTTAAATGTGGATGTGTCTTCCTTGAGTCCACTTTATTGTACGAGCTAGATGCTATTATCTTGCTAATGCGAATACATGCTAGCTGTGGACTTTTTGTGTTGCATTACTACAGGGTGCGTTACAAATCTTCTGGTGTCACTGTTCATGTGTTGTACCCTCAGTCGCTGTAAGTGGTCGTTGCTAAAGTCTTTTTGACGCAGCAGTCCTGTTTGTATTGCCGTGTCGTTGCTTCCAAGTTTCAGGAAGTGTTAACGTTGCTCCCAGATATGAAGATCACAGGGGGTAGATTTGCATCATGTGACTACTCGACTTGTATAATAAGAGGTTTATTGAATATTAGAGGAAAAAGTGTTATTTATGACAAAAAAGATGGTTTACTTTTATTATTAATCTCAACATATTCATGATGCACTTTTTAATTAACACTATTTCCCCTCTATGAGTATGAAAGTAGAGCGATGTTGCAGGGATATAATGGGGAGGGAAAGTGACAAATGGCACTACTGCTGGTTGTGTTCATTCGTCTGAAAATCAACTTATTCTCTAACTCATATTTAGAAATTTATTTATGGTCAATAATTCATAATAATAACCTAATGTTAATAACCATAATAATAAAGTGTATTGCAATAAAACACTATTAAAACTAACATTTTGTTTTGCTAACACCTAATCTGTGCACTAAAAGCAATGAAATCCTACAGCCCCTGCTGTAAAGTTAAAAATGTTTTTTTTCACTGTGCTATGAACACAACCAGTGACTTTCCCTCCTCAGGTCTCTCTTTATAGCATATAGTAACTTTATCTTGTTTAGAAAAGGGATATGATTATGATGACGTTTATGCGCTTTTTATCATGATGAAATGGTAAACTAATAGCTGTTTTTAAAAAAAGTTCACTCTGTTGTCGACTATTCAGGGAAGGAGGGGGTTAACACTTTAACTTGCTGTCTGTCGCAATGTCATGGCATGATTGTGTTTTCCTCTGTGATTTTGAACACACACACACACACACATGCACACACATCATGTTTTGCTTAAGTTGGCCTTGTCGTGATAAATGCATGAAACATTGTAGGATCCCACACCGGTTCACTGGGTAATTTAAATAGCCTAACAGCTTTTGTTTTTCATCAGATACTGACTCACCTGCACATTTGCTTACAACATACTGGACCTCAAACTCTTTTTGTCATCACTATTCAAATAACAGCAATTGCTGGATCCATTGTTTGGTTTTTATTTGGATTTGAAGGCCTAGTGTGGGTGACAGTTTTACTCTAGACTGATATTCAGGTAGCGGCTCTGATTCAGACAATCAAATATGTATCATAGTTTATGCAGATTTAATAGGTCGTGTAGCAGGAAACTGTGGGAGGGAAAGATGGTGACAAAGTGAAACGTGAAATGTGTTGAAAAAAACAGATGTTTTATATACCATCTCGATTTGACATGAAAACCTCATGGCCGTTTTCACTCTTTTTACACATCACCTGATATGTACGTAATGTTGAATGTCATGTAACATTTATATTGACCGGCTATGATTTACTTGCCTTGAAAAAAAGGCAACACACAGAATGATCATTTGCCAGAAAACGTAGAGCAGAGGTCCACTGATGAAAAATTCTCAACTATGGAAAGGTAGCAAAATTAGGGCAACTGTGTGATGCGTCAGCCATGATTGTTTGATAGAGATATCGATTGCCTGAGCGCAACAGGCAACCTCAGATAATCCACTGGTCAAAGGTAACACAGGAGGAGCACCAGTATGAGGGTTATTTTCTTTCTGTCAGGGAGATTAGTGAATGTTACCTGACTTCCAGATATCCACCCATCTTGCTGAATAATGTCGGTCATAGGCTCCAAACGGCCATGTGTTGATTTGTGATCCAGACTGACAAGCTCAACTCATCTGTGCAAGTGTGCTTGGCTGGGTCACTGCATGATTATGTGACCTTGCTACATGTTCATAACTCTTTTCTTAACTTCATGATGGAGATTCTTATCTTGTGTCAAGCATATTCTCTCTTTTCTTTTTTGCAAAAAAAATAAACCATGACAAGAACACAAATGTTCATTGCCATGCATATCAGATAGTTTGCAGTGCTCTTTCTTTCTTTGTGTCACAAGTCAATACAGTAAAATATATACAGTGAATGATTTTCAATAGCTACCCACGCCTTGTAGTGCAGTGTAATACCCTAGAGACAATAAAATAGATTTTTGCTTTTCTGTTTGTGTAACTTGGGAAATAATTTTTTACAACTCATGAGAAACACGCTCCTCTCCTTTTGGCATTTGGACCTTAATAAACAGCACAAAAAAAAGCAGCGTTGCATTCATGCAAGGCTTTGTTTCCATAGATATGAGAGATGATTTTAGCCAGAGAGGAATGTAAATCATAGGGGGAAATATATATTATATAAAGTTGTATAATATACAAAATATATATGAACCAATGTTATTTATGTGAATTTAAGTCCAATTAAAAGTCTGATCCCAAATGTGTCTCGGTTCTTTATCTCAGCTGTGTTGACTTTATTATCAAGGGGCTTTCTCACAGCCCAGCACATTAAAAAAACACAATAATTCGTAAAAGATATGTTATATACACAAAGACATTCACATACCTATATACAGACACATTTACACCCACTTATAGGTTACTCAGATATACATGAATTTTGCCTATGCACAAGAGGTAGAAAGCTAAAAGCTTACACAGATTTTATTTTTATTATTTGGACCACTCACAGTTCATCTGAACTCTGGTGTGTAGTGTGGACACCAATTTAAAATGCAGCCCAAAGCCTCCAGAAGGGCTGAGTCTCTGAACGGTTAAAAGCAGAGTAAGACTGCCAAGCTGGCAGGTCATCCAGAGCTCAGGGTGGAGTTAGTAGGGCTATACCCTTTTAGCCCTCATCTGTCATCACTGGCACAAGTGCCTCATTACCACAACATAGTATTGTAGTGCATGGGTCCCAGCACTGCCTGTGAGCATGGCACACACACACACACACTGACCCTGAACAATATGCTCACTTATTTTGTAGCTTGTTTTCTGTAAGGCGGGATCCTTCTCACAATGTCACGAGGGAACCAGGAGAATCTCAGTCACTGAAACCATTGAAAGTATATAATGATCACATATGAAATCATATAAAATTGTGTGAGTATGGAAACATACAAATAATATATAATAATATGGTGGTATTTGTCTGGCTATGTGACCCGGTGTCTGCCCTGCAACATCCTTGGGCAAGGCAGCGAAAACCATTTCAGCTCCAAGGTTACTGTTGTGCACCTGACCCTACAGTGCTACCCCTGCTGGAAAGATGAATTATATCCTGCAGGAATCAATATGGCATCACACACATACCCATGACCTTGGATATTTTGGGCCAAATCTGTGCAAATGTCTAACCTAAAGCTAAAAAATACTAGAAAACAAATTGTCAGCTCAAAAACAGATCAGGACCCTGGAATACTAAGTTTAAAGTTTCTAATGGATTTAACCCAAACCCTGATAGCAATGATCTTAACCAGTGTATTGTAGCCATACTTTGTCTTTCCAGTTCATCTTGGCATTGTTGAGCAAGATAAATGTCAACACAGGAAGCTGATTCTGCTTTTTGTATATTGTATCATTCAGGGTCTTGCACAGTGGATGCCATGCTTTTTCTTTACGGGTGTTCATTCCAAATTATTTCGTAATAAGACATTTCTTGGAACTATGTAATTTTATCCAATTATGAGTTCAGAGACTGAGTTAAGTTAGTACCCTTCAAATTCATTAATTCCAATAGATCAAAAGATAGCATAACCTTAAGTCTTTAAATCTGTGCACAGTAGGTCAGCTGAACATACAACATGTACAAAATTGTCTTGTGCTTAATTAGCACCAAATTACAGTTATTTCTATGCAACCCTCAATAAATTATTAGCAAACTACAGACCTGTAACATTACAGAAATCCATTATCAGTGACACTGCCAACTTTATGCCAAGACACAACCTATAGCTTGTATTGAATGAATAAATGGTTGCTGCTGGACAGATTAACAGCAACAGACTCTGACCTCAGTTCTCTTTGAGTTATGAGGTATCTGGTATATGGTATCTGCACCATTTGAACCAAACTTCTTATTGTTGACTTCTAGCAGATCTCATCATGTGGTCTCAATTGTACATTTGTTTAGCAAAGCAATGAAACGCTGAGGGAAATCCAGTTGCAACCCTGCCTGCCTCAACAGTTCACAACTGATGTCCTAGTTGTTACTTGTTTAAGGTAGATCTGAAACTGTATTTTGTGGATTTTTCCAGTGTGGGCTTGCAGTGGTGCATTGCAGACCTCAGTGGCTTAGTCCTGTCTCTTTCAGTCCACAGGTTTAAGTCTTGGGACTGTGATTGGAGACCTTTCCATGTGTGACAGATTAGCTGGCGGTTAAATGTGATGCTCACTCTGTCTCTGCTGCTAGCCAGCTAGCAAGCAAGCCGTTGGAGCAAGCCATAATTACATTTCTAATTGCAGAATAATTAGGACTCCCTGTGTAGCTCGTTAAGTCATTTGTCACCGAAGCCTCTAATGTGGAGTACAACAACTCTCTAATTACCCCGAATGAAAAGTCTACATTGTGGGGAGCATTTCAACACAACCAGTGACCTGAGCTTCACCTGATGAAGCATATTTCATCATCTCACATCTTGATTATTTTTTATTATCATTATTATTATAATTACCATTATTATTACTGTTATTAGCTACTTACTAAATGGATTTTTACTTTGCCCATTGAGGATGCCCCATAGCAAACTTTAAATCATAACCCTCTAATCCCAAAATACTGTGTTAGAATGTGTGGTCTCAGCTTAAATTTCACAGTGCACTGGAGAAGTGGTCAAACTGCTTTTCTTTCACCTTTGAAATACAGCAAGGTCAGATAATTTCTCCCTCCAGAGAACAGTGAAAGACTAATGTACGCTTTTATCACCAGCAGGCAACAGATTGATGTAATGTACTCCCCTCTGGTCTCCCAAAAAAGACAGTAGCTACAACTCTACAACTCAGAATGCTGATTTTTATGCTGATTCTTAATAAATCTCCATACTGCACGAACCTGTTCTGAATATGCTTCATCAGAGCACAGTGCTTAGGTCCTCTTTTTACCAAAGGTGGGATAAGTCACACATTCACAAATCTCAAATCTTAACCCTCAAGTTTTAAGCGAGTCCCAAGTCACTGTGGTGAGAATAAAGCAAGTCAAGTTATTGCTCAGGTCAGGTAAGTCACAAGTTAAAGTATAAGAAATTCTGATGATACCCCCCAGTTTCCTCAGTAAAATCTGTTAAAAGACAGTGGTCATGAAAAGTTATGTGGCAATCAGTAACAAGCCTCCAAAAAGAAACAACAATGGAGAATGGAGAGTGGTGATTCATCATGGCAACTTACTACTGATAGTTACATCTCCTATAAACAAACACAACAAAAACTAGTTGTAAGACCAAATCACAGATATATGTCAACCGAAACCACAGAAACATTCGGTTCAGCGAAAAAGTGGATTACAACACCAGCTTGGAAAACTTGGACCACTTACTACTTAACATTACAGTGCAACTAGCTGGATACTTCTTCCACAGCCACTCCAAAACAAGAACAACAAAAAAAATGCATTCCATAAACCGCAAACTTGACCTGCTCGTCACACTGCAAAATAATGGCCATTACCATTATCAGCATACGTCTTACCAGTGGATATGTTTTTTTTTCTCTAAAACATCATTCAGTTTGACCAAACAGACACTGCAAAGATCATACCACTTAATGCAATGTATTTGGGTGTCAGTGTAGAACACTGATACAGTGAGGACTGTCAAATGCAATGTTGAAGCTGCATGCCAAGAAATACAGAAACTCTCTCCTGCCATCGCAATTGATTCACACTCACAAGCACTGTACACGTCCCTGTTCCCTTTGACGCAAACAGTGCCACAAATATTGGAAATGAATGACAATGACCATGATCAGGCAGTATGACGAATGGAGAAATAATTCCCCTAATGAACCTGCCTGCCAGCTCCAAAGACATGGATGTGGATGCATTCTGATATAATGCCTTATAAATGGAAGACTCTGGGGGGGGGGTAATGTACTTCTTTTCCCCCACTAACACATCTCAAACAAAACCTCAAAACAGACTTCATCATATACACTCTCAATGGACTCGTATTGGTATTGGTATTGGAACAACTAGCAGTAAGTGAGATTGACTCCCTTACATCACTTATTACCAAAAAACAAGCTAAGTAATGCGTTACACAAAACACTGGTCACCAAGCACTACCTGTTTCATAACTCATGCACAAAGGAGTCCCTCGGCTACTTTTTGGTCTGACTGGGGCTTTATGCTGTCTGAATTTGTCTTCAATTCATTGCAAGGCACTTTGAAACATGAAATACTGTTTCTGACGTTGTTGTTGCTGCTGCTGGTTCTCAGGCTTAGTTGGTACAAAATGATGTACTTTTGATGCTCATCCAAAGCAGTAAATTTGACAGCTCTACAAATATATATACATGAATCAGTAAGTGCATGCAGACTGCTGCCCTCCCCAATAGAGTCAGTCTCATGTCCACAACATTAAGTTTAATAGCATCTCCTCTAAACTCGTCAATAACCTAATAAATTGTGCAAACAATTATTGGCAGGGCAATACAGAGCCTCCAATACATTTGCATATTTTATTACTTCCTCAGCTTTTCGATACATAATTTCTTATGTGGGAAAGACGTTGGACTAAGTGGACTAAAACTGTTTCAATCATTGTTGCATTTGTGAAAAAAAACAGGGTTTTCTCTCCTACATTAAAATGAATCATTACTATTCACCTCACAGAAATACTACCCTCTTCACAAAATCCAGCCAGATTTCTCATCAGCTGTGGCAGCCATCTGTGTGAAGCAGGTCATTGTAGCGAAGGTCTGACAGAGCTACAAATGCACAGCTGGATATAATGAACTGCAAATCTGCATCAAGCTCTTGGCTCCGTTTCACCAACATACACCTGCTCCAGCTGCATCTACCTGTCCATACTGGAGCGATAGCCTCATTTTATTACCATCAGCTTTAGAGGAAGTTATTTGAATCTGGCTGAATTAAAAGCTTATCTGCTTTCAAATGAGAGCGTTTCAGGGACTGAGTAGGAGGGCAAGTGTGCACAATTCTGCATGTGTTTTCTGTGTGTTGGATTTTTGATTTATAAGTGCTTGTGGGTGGGTGCACGTGGCTTGTAATAAGGTTGTTTTCTTTCCTTGGCTCAATTTTTGCCTATTTAACCTTTGCTTAAGGAAAGACTGAGTTTCCTTTTCCTTTTCCACTGGGTACATGGAGCATAAAAACAAAAAGATCAACTGCACAATCCACACAATAAAGATAAGAAGTACAGAGTACGGATCAAAGTGAAGTGATAAAAATGAATTGCCTTTGGACCTGTTGAGACAGACAGA